GTTTCCTCTGTCACCACCTCTTTGATGTTCATAACTCCCTTATTGCAGAATTGGCGAGTGATAGACAAAAGGGTGGCATCAGGTGGGGGGCGTGGGATGCGACGGAAGGAAGGGCGCCCTGAACCCGTGAAAGGAGATTCGGGCCCCGTCGAAACGAAGACAAAGAAAGGCTTCCAATCTTTGGTTGACCCCTTCTTATCACTAGCAAAGAGTTTACTGGACCTCTGGGAAAGACTGGCATAGGACGCCCAATCCTTATGGCCCTTGGTCAGTTTGAAGGTGAATATGAAATGGTCCAAGGTCGGATTCACCCCTATATCTCTGCACCGGACCAGGTAACCGGCGATGTACCGGTGAGAGTTGGGGACCAGTTGGCACGGGAGAAGGTCCACCACGTTGAGGAATTCGATCAACAACGGGTGGAGTGGGAAGCGCAGCCCCTTCTTCAAAGACGCCAGATGGACCGTGAAGAACCCCGACGGTGCGTCTAGAGCAGTTTGAGTACTGGTGGGTCTCATGACCTCGATGGAGGGTCCAACCATGTCAGTGGCATCGGCGAACCCCCGGCCAGTAATTTGACAATGGCACAACGCCATGATGTTTTCGTCCAATTCAACCCTTGAGCCCTCATCTACCAGGGTTGAGGAAGGGTATTGCTTCCTCAATCGACGCCATTTGTGGCCAGGCACGGCCGACGGCGACGGCCGGGGTGATGGAGTGTGGCCGGGGTTACGGTCAGAGGCCGATTGGCCGGCTTGGCGAGAATTGGGCGATGGGGTAGCCGAATCGGAATCCGAGACAATCATGGCGGCGAGAGAAGGAACTGACCTGGACAGGAAGAAGAACGAGTCGGGTGAGCAGTGGAGTTGCAGACGGACGGTAGTGAAGAAGGCGAAAGGAAGAGATGGCGTCCAGCGGCGGTTTTTAACTGACAACAGAAAGGCGAATCGACAGGCCATGATTACTTATTTGTGGAGATCGTGCCCAAGTGTCGTGCGGAACCCAAGGAACGGCCCGGATCCCCGCTGGAGCGTCCACGTGGACTTTGCAAACTCCCCACTCCTCCGCTTGGCCCAGCTGAGGACTGAGGAGTTGGGGGGCTTATGATGGGCCGATATCCAGAGGACGGCCCAAATGAACTATTTAAACAGCTTCGGGTCAAGCACCTGTGGAATACTCAAGCTGGGCCGGCCCAAGGAGCTGGGCCGGCCCAAGGAGCTGGGCCTAGTTAACCTCAGGCCAAGCGCAGCTGGCAGAGTCAGTCCGGAGAAGAAGACGGAGCTGATTGGCCGTTACGGAGCCGGAAAAAGGGGATCGCGCCCTTGGACGGGCTAAACTCCATCGGTTACGCTTCACCTTAATTGTTGAGAGCTCGTGTATAAATAGAAGGGACCCGAAAGGGGAGAACTCAGGCTGAATCAAGCTAGTAATACACATCCAATTCTCGAATTCTTGTTCTTAATTTTGTTCTTGCGATCCGCTCTGTAAATCGGATCATTTGGTGGATTTATTGTCCATCAGGAACAAAATAAATTAAGATTATGGCAATTAAGGAAAGGATCAGAAGAATGAATAACTTGAAAGAATATAATATGGACCTGTTTTTAGTCACGTAGTTTCTTATAGAGGGTGGCATTTGATGAGTGTACAAGCTAAGATACTTGTGAAAAAAACAGCTTTTGAAAGAACCATACTATATCTTCCCATCCACCACACTGACCACCACCCACCATACTTGTACCTCTCCCCATTAATGCCCCCACCATCATCCTACCATAACAATGCAACAAATCCAATATCACTCATCGTTGTATGTCCGCTATTTACGGGTCAAACTTTGACTTTTTTTTTATCGAGACGAAAATTAAAGCTACGTACCGAGTGATGAACACGGGGAACGAATCCCACCATGGTATCGGGGGCACTGCGCCAGACGTCGAAGGCGAGAACCACGGACGAACACGGAAGGAGCACGTCGTCGTCAACTGAAAACACACCGTCGGTTTGCAAACCGTTGACCTCCTTGAACCTGTTGTTCAAGCTGCTTTCGGCGTTGATGTCGAATACGAGTTCGACCCGCTGACCGTTGGCTGGCGACGAGCGCGAACGGACGGCTCTTTTGAGGCGGTGGATGAGCGAAGGGGGCGGAGGGTCGGGCTCGCTCCAGACGACATGTATGGAAGCAAGGCCGTGGCACGAGGAATAGTGGGAGACCGATTGCACGAGAAGATCGCTTCGTTTCCACGTGTTCATCAAAATGGTGTATCCTTTGCTGTGATCAAATGAAAGTCAAAACAAGAACGATTTTTACGAGAGAGAGGACTAGGACTTGTGGTGTAACTATACAAACCTGTGGAGTGAGGAGTAGTGTTGATGGAGAGGAGGTTGCATTGCCGGTGCCGTAGACGGCACCGCCTTTAGGGTGACAGTTATTATTATAAGTAGGGTGAGGAAGAAGAAGAGGAGGAGGAAGACCGCCTTCATCTTTAATAAGCATCCGTGGAGGACTGCGGCCTCCGCCCTCGGCGGCCGGCTGCTGAATCCCCTGGTCCTGGTGATCATCATCAACTCCCTGGCCTGTGATTGCAAAACCCTAAAAACTTTTAAGGTGGAAGGAAATGAAACAAATTATATTTCCGCATACAAATCAAGGACTGGTAGGCCGACAGGAAAGCATTATATTCAAGTAAACATACTACTGTACCAATCTACCTCCAAAGAATTGTGCGGAGTAATAATTACCCCTATATACTCCGTAATATACTCCCTATATATATACTCTCTCCTCCCCAATTTGATTACAAATTGGGGTTAAAATTTTCTACTTTTTAAAATCATTTTATTTACAAATTGATATATCAATAAGATATAAAAATTACATATTAAAAAAGTACGTCAAAAGTTCTACAAAACAAGAGATGACAAGAATATTTTATTTTATCAAATACTTAATTGAAATCGCGTAAACAAACAAAAGTTATCGAGAGGAGAGAGAAAAAAATGATAATTTTTTTTATAAAATTTAGAAAAATGAAAAAAATTAAATTTTAAAATAAATAAAAATGATAAAAAATTGAGTAATAAAGGGAAAGGTGAAGGTCTTATATAAAGTTAGATTACTAAAATATTCTATGTAACTATTTTATATAGTTAAAACAATTTTTATGTACATAGAATATTACTAAAATATTCTATGTAACTATATTATTAAAACAATTTTTTAATATAGTTAAAAATATTGATATTTTCCTATTTTATCATGTATATTAATATACAAAAAATTATCTTATTCATATTAAAAAGTTGAAGAAAAAAATAATAATGAATGTCAATCGTAAAAATAGTGAGATGAAAAAAATAATTTATAAACTATAATTATGAACATTATACTTGTAATAATAATAATAATAACATTAATAATATATTTGTTTTAGAGTAATATGTTGGGGAGTAGAAATAAGACGAGAATTGGGAAGATTGGGCTGGGGTAAGACAGTAGCTTCGTCTGGTCCAATCAAAGGATCGGACCAGGGAAGAATTAAGACGAGAATTGGGAAGATTGGGCTGAAGCAAAATTGGAGCTTCAGCCCCTAGAGGACCGGCTCATCGAGGAAGTACACGGCCCGCCCTATAGAATTAGGGTGCGCCTCCCTTGAGAGATGGACAAAATATTTCCTGTCAATGTTTGAGACAGAGAGGATAGGGAATATTTGTCTAATGGACCGATTTGTCCCGAAGCTAATAACCTCGAGCGAGAAAGGGAGTTTTCTGGGAAAGAAGGGGTTTATTCGGATATTCCCTCAACCACCGAAGATATTATGATGAGATGGTGGTTGGGGGAGTCCCTATAAAGGAGAGAAAGATTTGGCCTTGGAAGACAACTTGTAACCGAGAGAGAAAAGAGATACTTTGAGCAATAATAAGAATATTTCGACGGTCCTAGAGCATATTACGATTCATAGACAAACAGAAAGGACCATGGTTTAAGTTATACGGAGTATTACTGTGTGCCATCCATTTTTACACTACTCATTACTACTCCCTCCGTCCCAAAAAGATTGTTACGTTTCATTTCTTTGCGCATCACAAAAAGCAATGCTACTCACATCTAAAATTTCTAAAATTTACCATATTTACTCTTTATTATAAGATGAATTTGTTTTGAAAGTTTTTTTGGCATTTGAGACAATATAAAAATATTTTAAGGGATGCGCAAAGAAATGAAACGTAACGATCTTTTTGGGACGGAGGGAGTACTTGATTTCTATTATTTCACTTTTACAAGACCCGGATACTGATATTTGGGATCTTGGACTTCACAATAGTCTGAGGGGAAAATATCAGTGATCCATCAAGTATTTTATGGAGTGCGCAAAAAGTTAGAGCGGAAGTGTTTTCAAGAACAGATGGGGTATAAGATTATTTTAATTGTTTTCAGAAATCGAATCCAAATTTATATTTTAATCCATCAATTTTCTTGCTAGTGGCGGAACCTGGAAGTTTCAATGTAGCTGAACTAATTACAGAGTATAATATTTTGTAGTTGCTAAATCCACCCTTCAATTGGCTATATGGATCTCATTTATATTAAAAAAGCCAGAGAAAATATTAAAATAGAAGTAAATATGGAGAAACTATCAAAATATGAGTTCCATTTTTTATCCTTAAAATAAAAATTACAATGTCCATAATGTCAATATATAGTATCAAAAGCTCTAGTGAAATGTCAATATACTGTACTACAATATCACGATGCAAACTCTTATTTTAGATAGAAATATGGAACTATATATTAGACATAAGAATTATGTTTTACTCTTATTTAAGTTAATTTCTTACGGAGTAAAAGATAAGTTTACCTTTAAAGTTTAACTACCCCGGAGTATTTAAAAAGGAATGAGGTAAAAGTTAAAGGGCCTGTTTGGGAATAGCTTTAGAGATTAGCGTTAGCGTTTTGGATAAAAATTTAACAGTACAGATTACTTTGAAAACGCTAACGCTAAACGCTGCCCGTAGATAGCCTTTTCAAAACGCTAACGCTAATCGCTAAAGCTATTCCCAAACATGCCCAAAATTACTCGTTTATCATTAAATATTGTGAGTTTAGCATTACTTTAATTTTTTTAATGGTAATCACAGTATAAAGTTTCTTTCCCTTTGTTAAATAAAGGTTAAAAGCTCTTCAATCTTAACGGAGAAAATACTACACCGTACTTCTTTTTCCAAGTTTCTTTTTATTTGTCTTAAAATAGTTTTTTATGAAAAAATATTTTGTACAAAATATATCTTTCCTAAATAAACTTTAATCACTTAATCAGCTTTTTATTCTCCATGATACAATTAGCCCACATCCGGCTTATATTATTAATCTTCTGTCTCAATTGATGTTAGTGCATGTTTTTTTATTCACATGGTTAAAACTTTAATCACTTTATGTAGAATTTTAGAATTGAATGACTTGTTTGTGGATACAATCTACATGTGTATATATACAACAATAGTTTCCAAAACATATTAGGAAACATATATGGAGTCCTACTTCTACAAGGAAACAAATTAAGATGAGATATGTACAAACATATTCCAATACGCCCCCTCAAGTTGGAGCATGAAGATCAATAATGCCCAACTTGGATAGCAGAAATCGGAAGAGTGGGCCAGAAAGTGCCTTTGTAAAAATGTCAGCAATCTGAAGACGAGTAGGAACGTAGGCCGTAACAACGTGCTGACGGAGGAGACACTCACGAACAATATGGCAATCAATATCAATGTGTTTGGAGCGTTCATGAAATACGGGATTGGCAGCAATGAATAATGCAGATTTATTGTCACAGTAGAGCTTGGGGATGGCGACGCACGACACGGATAGGGCTCCAAGAAGGCCGCGGATCCAACGAAGCTCAGCACA